TTTTTTTTTTTTTTTTTGGGTTTCTTTCTAGAATGAGAAGTGCATGTAATGGGGGCTGAGAGCACCTCCCCCTAGGCTCTCGGCCACGGGCTGCTTCTCCACACCCCCATCTTAGCAAAGGCCCCAGGCAGGAGGACTGCCTGGGGGAGGCAGAGAGGGGAGCGCCAAGGTGGCCAGATGGTTCCAGGACCACAGTGTCTTTATTTTTAACTGTTTGCCACTGCTGCCCCCACCCCTGCCTGGCTCTGGAGTACAGTCAGCCCCAGGCGAGCAGGAGTGAGTTGTTGGGGGAGAAGTCCTGATTCTCCTCCCCTCCCCGCTTGGCAGGGGTGAGGGGTGCATTCTAAATGAGCAGTAGGGATAGAAGGCACGAGCCTGGGAAGTGCTTTTATAAATTATTTTCCTTGTAGATTTTATTTTTAATTTATCTCTGACCTGCCAGGGAGAGGGGAGAGAGAGAGAAAGAGAGAGAGAGAGATGCTGTGAGCACATGACAAAATAAAATAAAATAAAATGGATGATTCATTCTCAAGTGCAATTTTTCCCTACTTTGAATAAAAAACCCTGACCCCGTGAGGGGAGGACTGGCCATTGTGTGGCTAAGGCAGAGCTTACAGGGGAAGGTGGGTGGAGAACAGGGGAGGTTGACGATGAGGAATTTAGAAAGACAAAAAGTCTTAAGTGGGTGTTAAAAAAACTCTTAAGTGGATATTAAACCTTCCAAGCAGGTGTTGGCACCTCTCCGCAGGGTTTGCCAAGCTGAATCCTCTGGGGAAGGATTCCGAGTCCTTTTGGCCGCTTTCTGCTGGGACTGGGCTAGGCAGAGGTGCTCTCACCTGGTCCAGCGGTGTGTTCGCCTGTGAAACGCCGCATTTTTAAATCTTGACCACGCTGTTGCTTCTCTGGTGGCCCCACCTGCCAGAGAGGCGCAGCGCATCGGAGGGCGGTCACGCCAATGACAATGAAAACCTGGGAGGTCGACGAGACCAGCACATGCCAAGCGCTGGCGCTGGCGTGTGTCAGCAGGGCCACAGAACCGGGAGCAGGAGGCTAGACTCCAGGGGTTAAGGCATCAGAAAGCCTCCCCGGCCGAGGTGAACAGACTCTGGTGTCTCTCAAAACACCTCCTTTAATACCAAGCTTCCAAAAGAGCTGAATGCCCCCAGGTACTTGGTGCTTGCTGGAACCGCCACCACATCTTGGGGTAGGTGCTTAGCAGACGCTCACCTGGCAGCCTGTGAAATTACTGGACGAGGCTTAGGACCAGAAGCTGTGATCCCCATAGTGGAACCTGTGATCTTGAACTCCAGTGTACCATCCGGCTTAGAGCGGCAGACCTTTCATGATGCTACTGGAGTATCCCAAGGGGCGGGATAGAATTCTGGGAATAACATCAATTTGTTTCAGTTTACAATGGCTTTTTAAAACCACCATCTCTAGTTGGAAAGCGTTGGTCATCTCAGACAAGAGCTCTTTCCTAGTCAGGAGTTAACTAAGGTCTGTAAGCCATACAAAACCAACATTCTTAAAAAGAGAAGGACTAAACATTAACAACTTTAATTCGTGCTGGTAAAAAATACAAATTATGTATAGAAGAGTAAATCGTGAGAAGTAAAACTCCAGAGAGGCCTGTTTTTGTATCCCTTCTAGAAATGTGTATATGCATTTTTGTCTGTTTAAGGACACGATTAGGCTGTAACTTTTACCTTGTTTTGCAACTTTTTTAACCTAACATATTTGGGTATTTTTCGAGAGAAAAATTCCTCTCACCCTGTTAGTGTTGTCCCTGGCCTGAGAAAGTATATTTTTGTCTCTCCTCCCCGCTGTCCCCTTACGGAGAGATGCACAGTTATGTCTAGGATCCCGCTGATTAGCTTGGCTTTGGGCCAAGTTGGTCAGCACTTGCTGTGGGGTTGACCTCTTTTTGCTGCTGGCAGGTGGAGTGGGTGCTCCGGCTTCAAGGCTTCTTCCGGCAGGAAGATCTGAGGACTCAAGTAAGGCCTGTCAAAGAGCTGCTGCACCTCCGACAAGAAGTGAGAAGGGGTCTTAGACTTGGCAGGGAGATGAACAGGCCTCAGAGTTAACTGAGGACCAAACTTCCGGGTGACCTGCTTGGGTGGGGGCAGAAGCCTGGCTTTACCTTGGCTTCAGCCTAGGTTCCATTCAAAGAGATTTTTCCCCCCACATCCTAATTCACGTAAGCACTGGGAAATAGACCCATTCATTCCCAGCCTCTGCCCTGCACAGATCTCACCAGTGGAGCTGGGGTCACTATTTCAGGGTCAATAAAAATAGGAGAGATCTAGAACTGAGGGGAAATACAGTGATCTAGAGAAGGTTCAGTGTCACCAAGACTTGGCCTCCATGGCGGAATCCCTGCCCTGACTAGGTAAAGCTGAAGAGCAACTAGTCAAACAGTCAGTGGACGGGAAGTACTCTCCCTGGAGCCCCGACTTCCTCAGGCAGCCCTCGGCCCTTTTACAAGCCCCAGCTACACCAGGCCTTGCCGCTTCTTAGGTTTCTTTGGCAAATAGCTGGAAAAACAAGTGCCTTACAGGAAAATAACATCCCCACCACCTTCATTCACATCTCCTACCTCACCCGGCAGGCAATGACCTAGAGCTCCGGCTTCAGCTCCAACTAACCAGTTTCATGGCGTGGCCAGCAAGAAGTTCACTTCCTTATCAGCACTATCCACCTGCAAGCACAGGCACCAGATTGCTGGCTGCCTCTCTGGAGGTCCTGTTCCCAACCAAGTGTAGAAATTCTCTAGCAAAACCGACGTGCTTCATTGTCATGAGGGGTTAACCTTGTTTTCCTATCGCCCATCTGGGACAAGAAAAGGATGCAGATCTTCGGTTTGTCAAGGTAACAAGAACCTTTCTTTCACCTTTTACTTTTTTCTCAGAGGCCAGCGATCCTCCTCGCCTCTAGTTCTGAACTTCGTAATGCAGACGGAGCATGCGGGGACTTGGGATGCACATGGAACTTAGCACCCGATTTAAGTTTCGGTCCTTGCTGTGGCCAGGACTTTGAAGGTTCAGGTCAGCCCGACTCAGCTGAGATACAGAATTTAGCGCACAAAATTGTCTGGAGGAGTGAGTGTCTGGGCCCCCACTGAAGAGGTGTGTTCTCAAAATCCGTTGGATAGAAACCCTGTCTTCCTTTTTTGAGTACACAAACATTGCAGAAACTCTTAAAGCTGGTTTCTTTTCCAGTCTAACCGCAGAATGGAGATGGGCCGCATAGTTTTTATTACTTAATTCCAGACGCTCTTTCAACCAAGGAAAGAAAACCTAGTTGGGAGAGAGGCAGAGAAAAGGC